AAGCGAAATTCTAGGTAGATCTTTGAGTTGAGAAATGAAAGTAGGCCTTCTTTGTTGAGCCACCGCCTAAATTAATCTACCTTGATGATCTTTATCCCTAGTTAGCTCAGTTGAGCCTAAATAAATTATTATTATTATTATTGTAGCCAAGCTTTAACTCTTATCTTGTTTGTTGTTAAGACTTATTATTTGTTCACCCAATTCCCTTTGGGCACTTTAAGAGTTGATCTAAATGTGAAAATCTAGGGGTGAGGTGTAATTGTGGAAAGAACTGATGTAAGAACAAGTATTTGAGCTTGTTAATCTCTTGAGATGTTTTTATAAAAAGAAAAAAAATAGTTGCTTCTGAAATTCAAAAAAAAATGAAAGTTGTGAATGGGTTAAGAAGAAGAAGAAGAAGAAGGGGGATGTCGATTGCTTAAAGAAATATGGAAGACAATCATGCTTGAGCGATAAAGTAAAGTGTAGAGCCTACAGGGAATTTGAGTCGCTATTATCCATATGTATCCTTCTGATCCCTAAGCCTTCATTACAACCTTGTAAAAGTCCTACATGATCTTAACTCATAGACTCCTATATTAGTAGAGAATTACATAATAGTCAAGCTTATGGTAATTTCCAGTAGCTTGAGGTACTTTTTTTTTAGAGTGAGCGAAATTTTCTATTCATGCCCTTCTTTGTTCTTTATCTATATATTGTGTGATATACGGGCATCTCTCTTCATCTAGTGAGACACACTTGGGATTAAATAATATTATGATTTCGATACTCAATAGGTGAACATGAGTACGGTTAAAGATGTTTGAACTCATGGATTGGTCTTAATTAATTCTTCTCTGTCAAAACTTCTCATGATTTCACTTAAAGTGTTTAGCTACCATGTTTATTTGATATTCTTTTTTCTCGAGGACAAGCAAATATTTAAGTATGAGAGAATTTGGTAAGAGAAAAATATCATGCATAAGTTGAGCTAGAATCTAATTTTTAGTACTAATATTTTTCTCTTTCTTTGCAGGAAATAATTAAACTAATAAGAAAAATGAACAATGAAAAGAAAAAAAATTCACTTTCCAAGTTTGCAAAGAAAAACTATAATGCTGAAAAATTAAAAGTAAAGTGGTTTATGCAACTTTACAAATGAGAAAGTAGTTGTACACATGAAAAAAAATCCAAGACAAACAAAATGGAGAAAGAAAAGGGACAACCATTGCTGGAAAGAGGAAACCAAGAAGGACTAAAATCATTACTAGCAAGTGGACATGTGCTACTTTTTGAAAGAAAACATTGTCAGCAAAACCAATTTCAAGACACAAAGTTTAATTTGCCAAGTAGATCCAAGTTGCCGTGAAATCAATTTGGCATTTGTTAGTTGGCAACTTGGGCCAACTTAGATGAAAAAGCTGACAAAGTTTTATTTAATTGAAAAAGAAGTCCAGAAATAACGGGAATTGTTGGGGAGAACTTGCTATAAATAGCTGCATCTTGAGCTGTTTGAAGGGGGAGCAGAAGGCAGAAACCTTATTCTTGATCAACTCATTTCTTTCAATTTTCTAAGTTCTTATTTTGTGAATATTTTCTTTCTTCTTTTAGCCACTATACTGGCTTCATTTCTAGTTCCGAATAAATTATAATATTGAAAATTACTCTAGCACCTGTTTTTAATTAAATAGGGGAAATTATTCTCTTGAATATTTCTTTCTATTTTCTTATTTAATGGGCAAGAATATTTCCGTTGTCAATACTAACTCCATTATGGAGTAACTTTTCTTGTGTTGGGAGAGTGATGGATCTTAATATTTCTATATAATAGTAGATATTATCCCTCAATTTCACATGTTTTAGCTGAAGTTTTACATTTAAATTTTATCTGCTTTATAGTTAGGTGTTATTTAATTTGTTAACATCTATCTATTTCATACTAAACATTAACTCTTACTAATTCTGTAATCAAAAGAGGCAGAAGAGTAAATAGTTAATTTTGGTATTGATAAATGTTAACTTTTAGGCGAAATGGCTTCCTGCTCACTTAAACTTGTCGGGTTTTTTAAAGCCGATACATAAACTTTTTTATTTTTCCATTTGAACACTCGAACTCGTTTTTTTCATAACTAATAAACGCATCTGACAAGAGACCATGTGCTCATGTATTACACATACACATACGTCTCCATCCAGTCAGTAAATGACCAATGGATGTCTTACACGTCAAGGGCGCGAAAACCCTAACCCTGGTCCCCTCTTTAATGCAAGCCTTTTGAATGAGCCTGATTTGGTAAAGAGAGCCAATGCTGCTACGATTATACACACCAACAGCCAAGAATTTGAGATGGAGCTAGAGATCCTCTGCAGTGTTCGCCACAACAGTATAGTTAATTTGTTAGGTTATTATGCAGAAATGGAGGAGCAGATTCTTGTTTACGAACTCATGCCTCACGGAACGCTTTACGACCATCTCCACTGCGATCTTTCTTGTCTGAGATGGAACCTTAGGCTGAAGATTGTGATGCAGGCTGCAAAAGGGCTCGAGTACCTTCACAAGGAAGTTTCTCCTCCTATTGTGCACCGTGATGTGAAGAGTTCGAACATTCTGTTGGACGCTGATTGGGGAGCTCGTATTGCAGATTTTAGATTGCTTACACCTAATGAGAAGGATCTTAACGGAGATGTGACAACTGATGTCTATAACTTTAGGATTGTGCTGCTAGAGATTCTTAGTGGAAGAAAAGCTTATGACAGGGATTGCACACCTTCAAGTATTATTATTTGTTAATCTTGTTCTGATCGAGCTTCGTTTGGTCCAAGTGATGCAAAACTTAGCTTTAACTCTACAATGATAAAATATACAACTTTCCACCATTTCCACGGTCTGAAAAAATAAAAAAAATTGAAAATGGAGCTTCAAATTTTTAAAAATGGAAAGGGGGGTATTTTAGAAGGAACAAATAAGAACACAATTAAACACAACCCATTTTGTATTGTTGGGCGTTGGGAAGGGGGGGTTTCACGCTCTTGTGGGTCATGTTCCTCATGTGGGCTATTGATTAGGACCAACTGATGCCACATGGGCATGTTCAATGGTCATATATATTTATTAGTTATGGAAAAAATAAGTTCGAGTGTTCAAATGGGAAAGTTATAAGTTTATGTATCGGCTTTTAAAACCCCGCCAAGTTTAAGTGGCCAGGAAAGCATTTCGCCTACTTTTATTTAGTGACATCTAACTCTTATATGTTAAAATTGATTCTACACTTATTTGTAATCGAAAGAGGCAAATATTGTAGTAATTAGTTATAACATGTAGGGTAACCGAAAGGGACTTACTAAAAAAAGCAAGTTTTAGTTTAAGCATACATTTCTGGCTCTTTAATATTACTATTCTAACGATTAATTTGTATAACCGAGAGGAATGCAATTAATTGTTCAACTTAAGTAATGATATATAAATGTAATCGTGAGAGGCATTTATACATTTGTGAGAAATAGAAATTGAAGGATAATTTTACCTATTATATAATAGAAATATTAAGTGAAGTTATGATCCCAACACCTTTTTATTATATTTGTGAAAAATAAAATATTTTCTATTGCTCTATTCATGCATTTTTAGTTAGTTAATTCACAACTCAACTCTTCCTGGTTTTCTCAAATAGTCATTAAAACAAGAAACGTATGTAGAATAGATAAACCAATCTCTATGGGTTCAACATCTTTCTATATTATAATTTGACAGAGTACGAGTTTAAATTTTATATAGGCCAGACTCTCGTCACAATGTCTACAAAAGTCTCCCGCACCCCATCAATACGCAATACCTCCCCAAAATCCTAATCTTCCACCAGTACCCACTCCTCCTCAACACCAACATCTTCCAACTCAGTACCCGCAAACCACTTACCATACTCCTCAGAATACCCCGCAACCTATCCCTGATCCGCAAAATTCAACTAATAATCACCACTACACTCTAACCCCCAGCACCCACCAAAATAATCTCATATACGTGGAAACCTTACCCCACTCTACTTAACTAATCTCATACATTCCAGAATCCACCGAGAAGGACCTGCTTATTAAGAATATGGTGGAGGAGCTCAAGAAGCTCACAAGCTGCGTCTAGGGTGTTGAAGGAGGCAAAGGAATTGAGGGTCTGAATTATGAGGATCTATGCATTCAGCCAGACGCGGAACTGCCAGAAGGTTACAAACCTCCTAAGTTCGATATGTTTGACGAAACGGGTGACCCAAAGGTACATTTGAGGACATACTGTGATAAGCTCGTGGGAGTGGGTAAAGATGAAAGAATTCGCATGAAACTATTCGTGAGGAGTCTCACTGGAGACGCCCTATCTTGGTATATCAGTCAGAATCCCAAGAAGTGGGTTAATTGGGTAAGCATGGCATCGGACTTCATGGACCGATTCAGGTTTAATACAAAGAATGCACCAGACGTCTTCTACATACAGAACCTCAAGAAGAAACCAACGGGAACTTTCCCTGAGTATGCTACTCGATGGAGGTTAGAAGCTACAAAGGTCAGGCCAGCACTAAAGGAAGAGTAGATGAACAAATTCTTCGTCAGGGCCTAGGACCCACAATACTATGAAAGGTTAATGGTCATCGAAAATCACAAGTTCTCCGACATCATCAAACTCAAGGAAAGGATTGAAGAAGGGATCAAGAGTGGGATGGTAACCAATTTTGAGGCATTTCAGGCTACGAACAAAGCATTACAGGCAGGAGTATATCAAAGAAGAAAGAAGTGGGGGCAATGATGGTAGCCCAAGGTCCAAAATCTCCACTCACATACCAAATACCTCCACCTACATACCAAACTTCACCTCTACCGCCTATCACACTTATAACACCTAGCCAGTCTATTACCATTCACATCCAACCCGCCAAAACTATCAAAAACCTAGACCTAGTTTCGATTGCATGCCGCCCAGATAATACACCCCTATTGTTGAGCCTATCAACGAGATATATGAAAGACTGAAGGCTGCCGGATATGTCACCCCTATTCCTGTCGTCGCCATCTCAATGGGTCAACTCGAACAAAACATGTGCGTACTATTCCGGCATGAAAGGGCATACTATTGATTAATGCCGCACTTCGAAATATAAGATTCAGACCGTGATTGATACCAAAGTCATACAAGCAAAGGAAGCAACACCTAATGTCTGCAACAATCCCCTTCCAGATCATAGGGTGGAGGAGTAAATGTGATAGAAACTAATGAAGAATGGATCCTGAAGGGTTGATTGGGCTTATTTGGGAAGATGACGACCCTAAACCTACAATCACACTTACTCCTATTATGGTACAGATACAACTACCGGTCGAAGTTGAACTAGCCATATCAGTTTCGTTTGAAATTGAAGTAACAACACCTGCAACTACACGTACTCTATTTGAAGTAGAAGTAGCCACACCCTTTATTGTGATGGTAGCATCCACATCACCCTTTAATTCCAATGACATACCTTGGGATTATATTGCCGAAGCTAGGAGAAAAGAAAAAACAAAAATAGAATAGTCTGGTTCTACACAGGGGATAACAGAACTGGAAAGATCTATACACCCGAAAATTTGGGAGGAACAAGCAAGGAAGTTGTTGCCAAACAACCCATCATTGAAACTGGTCTAGATGATCTCTAGAGGAAAGTACAGGCAAGAGAATACTCTGTCGTTGATCATCTGAACAAGACTCCTGCCTAGATATCCATCGTGTCACTGCTACAAAATTCTAAGGCATATAGGAATGCTCTGATGAAGGTGTTGAGTGAAGCGTACGTGCCCAACAACATCACCAGTGGAGAGATAGCCAACATGGTGGGCAAGTACTGAAAAGCCACAAGATCACCTTTCACGAAGATGAACTGCCACCGGAAGGACTAAGTCACAACAGGGCCCTGCACATCACAGTACAGTTTGAGGACAAATTCATCGCCAAAGTCCTAATAGATGGAGGTTCTGTCACAACTCAAACCTATGGGCCGCGACGGGCATCCGATACCTTACTTAACCGAGTACCAACATAACATATTATTCTTATCGTACTTTCATTGGCAAATGGGACAAACGGGCCATCATGGGCTAACTAGAATGAACATGGGGGAGTACTCAATATAGGACAACCCAACCTGATATAAAAACTTACCCATGTGACATACGGGCCTATAAGGCCAACATGATCATTTGTATACTTAAAACATAGGCCGACAAGGTCATACAAGTATCCGTATATATGACATCTGTCTATAAGACTCTAAATTATATAGTTATCATAAAGGTTGGGACAGAGCCCCGCCATACCAAACAATACATGTCTAAATCATACTGACCAAACAAGCAACTCCGGAGCAAATGGAGTGCACCAACATCTTCCGCTGAGCTGATAGCCTGCTTGGAGGACTCTTGACCTGTCTTTCGGGACCTGGGGGCATGAAACACATCATCCCAAGCAAAAGGAACGTCAATAAAAATAATGTACCGAGCATGTAAGGAATGAAAATCAGTAAATAATCGATAATAGGCATGAGAGAAGCATGGAGTAAAAAACTCGACATGTAAGTCTGGATAACTCTATAAATCATGTAATACTTATAGTGTCATGCATATGCATATGAATGTCATGTCATGCATAGGTACATGTGTTCATAACATCATCAAGCCTCTGAGGGCATCCCATCTTATCATCTCGGCCACTGTGGGCAAAATCATCAACGTGCACCAACTGTTGAGGTGGTGGTGCGTATATAACGCTGTAACCTTTTTCCATATACCATATATATATATAATATACATATATACGCGTATATAACGCTATCTGATCATGGGTCAATGTACATGTATAAATACATGAAATGCATAAGAAATACGTTAATAAGATTTTCTCGGAATGCCATAAAAATCAATATGCCTTTCGGATAAACTTTATCAAATACGTATTTTTCTGAGACCCATGAACAGAAGATATAATAATAATTCACATGGGGAATCAAAAATATAGACACCCCTAGTATTTCTATGAATAGAGTCATTTATGAAAGTTATGTATTTTGCTCGTTTCATTTGTATTATTTGGATCATGCCAAAAAGAAAGAAGGGATAGCCTTAACATACCTGAACTGATTCTCTTGTCATTTCCTCTAACATACGTCTTTTGTGAAACACATAACGGTGGATCAAAGTAAGAGAGAAGGGATAGCCTTAACATACCTGAATTGATTCTCTTGACATTTTCTCTAACATACGTCTTTTGCGAAAACACATAACGGCGGATCGAAGTAAGAGAAAATCCGTATGATATTCTTGAGAAAAATTGCACTGTACTCTCTTAGAATCACAAAATCCTGTTGTTATTAAATTATAACTTCATATGAATTTTTCTAAGCAAATCACGCTGCCATTTACTTCATATGATATGATATCTCTCTTTGTGAATTTAATCAAAGTCTTGTATGACTTTGTTGAAGCTTCACCCGTACAGTTGGAGTTTCCATTTTGTGAATTGAAAATAGGCTCCATCATATCACATAACACCAACTCTTAATGAGATAAGAATATCAAGTCTTATATTTGTGGGTTTGTGGGCCCCACTTACATTATGACTAAGCCACAAAAATTTCTCAAATTTTGCCACCTTGTTACATGAGTTATGACTCATTATTCAAGACATATTTGGCAACCACATTCCCTTAATCCCACGTGAATTGCCCCATAATGCTTATCCAAGATCACTTAAATAATTATCCACAAACTTTTAAT